GGTGGACAAGCGCCTCTTCAGCTTCGTAAGATAGACGAGAGAAGCCATCAGTGTCGGGACTTGTACATTAGAAGCAACAACCACTTCCGTTATAACATCGAATCACACGTACTGGTACGAAAACGAAGTCCTGCGTGCAAGGGTTGCTCTGAAAAGGGCCAGTGTCATCCGGTCTCACACCCACATGCCCTTCCAAGAAGCTTTTCATGGATACGCAGAGAATTCAACACCAGGTCGATTTTAGCTCCAGTGGATATTTCCCTGAACTATGTAGCAATCTTCATGGCTGAGGGGAATCTGCACTCTGAATCCGTGTTCCCCGGTCTGATGGCAAGGGGCTAAAAGTGGTTTACCGCGCTCCTCTGGCCATATCATCTACTTATTAGGGATAGGGCTGCCCTAGCCCTAAGATACCCTAAAAGCATTGTTGGCCATGTTACATACAGCCCTACATGATATGGTCGCAGGGGTTGGCTTTTGCAAGGACTTTCATATGTATCACCATCCCGTGACAGCCCAACATACAAATTGGCATGCACTTGGCTCCTGCTAATGCCTCCGCTGGCGGCCAAGTTATAAAGTAGTCTGCATGATTAATCCGAAGTGTCAAAAGTAACCTTACTTAGATGCGGACCTGCGTAGCCGTGCACACCAGCTGTATTTTGATAAGATTAGGTGTGGTAACAAGAAGATGAACTTCATTTGGTAGAATATCCGGGCTATGCACAGAGATGACGACATCGCGATGTAGTAGATGCTCACTAAGTCCTATGAAAGAAGATAATCATATTCATCGTCTCCCCTGTCTCCAAAGGAAGATAGGGGGTAGCCATCTCGAAAATTCGTTGTAGCTTTTAGGTCTATGCCAAAGGCCCGGCATGCTAGCGTGTTGGTCCACTTGCAGAGGTATCATATCTAGTAGCCTCAAGCTTGTGAGGTAAAATAACTACATATGAGAACACCTACAGAGATATTTATTACTTCAGCGTCCCCCATACTCTCGGGCCAATTCTACGCTATTATTCCTTTAGACGCCTTCATAAATCAGAATTTAGTACAACATCAAGGCACATATTCCATACTATCAACCACGATCGCCCATGGTCAGTCATAAGTGTCTTAATTAATTAGGCAGGAGAGTGTTACGTATTAAAATCTAACCATATCGCTAGCCGAAAAAGCGCTGGGTGTCAGGGGAGTGCCATAGACCACGCCTAGCCTCCTGTCGGCAGACCGGGGAATACGGATTTGGAGTGTATGCAATCGGCCCTTGCTATTAGTCATATCAGGGGTAACATCTCAATACCAGGGGATGACTAGGACCTCTACGACATCTGCAGGAAGTCAGGAGTAATCACATCACCCCCTTGTCAATACTCGATGCCTCCATACGTGGCTCGTGCCCTCAATATGTGGTACAAGCCATTCGGAGTTGACTCTAATTTTAGTTGCTCGACCTAGTTGTTGACTTCTGTCTATGATCTTCACGGAATCTCCTTAGGAATTGTAAGCCTCAATTAGGGATAGGGCCGTATTTTTTTGAAAGGTCTCGTGAATGGTCCTGTACCAGCCCAGCACGAGTCAGTCTTTGATTATATTGGGTTACACACCTGGGTATTCGGATAAGTATCGACTCATAAGCGATGTATGATTAACCTATTAGAAGATATTTCTCTGTATCCGTTGAGTGTGAAACTAAGTAGATAGAGCGATACTCTGTTTCTATTTTCAATCCAATTCGGCCGTAAAGCTAGAGGAAAGACATTGAAATCCCCCACTTCAACTCGTTGCTAGCACCTTGACAACTAGTAGGCATATCTCGGTGTACCACAGTTCTCGCACGGTTTAGTATGGATGTTCATTCTTCGATGACCGCAAGATGTCTCCAGACCGTAGTGTATATATATCCAATCTTATGCATATATCTCCAGTGGTGGCATAGCCGCTCCTATCTCGGCCCTGTTGGGGATCGTATGAGAGGAGCCCATGGTAGAGATTAGTGGAGTGGAAGCTATTTCAGCATGTTCGCGTAGTACTATCATAGTCCCGCAGCTAAGTTCCCAGCAGGTGCAATCCTCCCACTCTTCACTATAAGCAATACTGTCTACAATGTACCTGGGTAGCTACAAAGCTGTCTTCATATTCCGGAGGCCAGCTGGTTATCTGGCCCCCGTCGGCAAAGCCTATCCCTACTGAGGACAAGATGCAGGTCCATCTATTATCCACTTCTTAATATCCTGTACCGCCAGATGGGGATTATTCTTATGCATAAGCAGGAACCCCTGAATGCTAGCAGGTGAGATTTTTTCGTCGTCAAAGCACAATTGAAACTTGCCTGCAAGCGTATCCAAATCACATCTTGTTATATCACCCAAATTGGGAGCGATGGCGCCCCCTCTGACTGTATACATCGCCATGAAAAGCGCTTTTGCCTGCTTTCTAGTTGCGTTTTTAAATTTAACGCAATGATCGACTCGCCCCAGCCGCAGCAGAGCAGGATCCAGCTTCTCGTAATGGTTGGTTGTCATAATTAAGATGTGTCCCTCGTGACTGCCCGGGCCATCAATGACGTTAAGTAGCTCAGATAGCGATATCCCTCTCCTCTCTTGGGAGGAGCCTTCGCTGCTATCCGGTTGTCGGACACCTGCGCAGTCGATATCTTTAAGCAGAAACACAGCATCGGGGGGCTTGGTTAAAGAGCGTGGCTAGTTGTGAGCCATTCATGCTGTTCAAGTCGACTAAGCATAGGTCTAGACCATATTCGCTAGCTGTTCCGACTGCCAACGAGGTTTTGCCGGTGCCGGGCGGTCCGTACAAGAGGTAGCCACGACGCAGCGGAATTCCGCGCTCGGCATACCAGCCTACTGTGCTCGGTAGTAACACCTCGCATCACCACCCCGCACAAGCAACTCTCCCCAAAACGAATTGCCAATATACCCCAATGCTTTGCTAACGACCACCGACCCAGCCCGCGCTCAAGAAGTAACATCAGGTGCGAATATTAGTGAACTAGATCTTTTCCCCGAATATTTAAGTAGCGCGATTAGAAGGGACGACGCCGGTGATCGAAAGACTGCCGCAGTGTCGATGAATTTCCCGTTCAATATCATCGCGGATGTTGACTGCGCTATGACTATGGTGGTTTTGCCCAACAAAGTGGAACGACTTGCGTTGCTCCTATTCAACGCGCATTTGGAAACGAACGGGAAGGTGCGAGAACTTGTTTTGCCAGGTGGCTTGAAAGTAATACCGACCCGGCTACAGGGTAGTTCCCCCGAATCTGTCATTAACGTATTTGGTGGTGTGATTGCTAACGCACTCGAATGCGCCCCATATCGTAAACATGAAGTATTGGATGCCGGGTCTAGAGTGGCCACTCGCTGCGTAACAATGTCAGAATGTGCTGATGCGGATAGAGGGGCGATCATTACTTTAACCCTAGGTAGGAGAGCAGCATTCGAGAAGTTATTCAAATCAAAAATCCGTTCCTATTATGCAATTTAATTTAGTGTGTATTGTATCTTCTCAGTAGTGCTTTCAACTTCAAGGACAAATCTCCTAGCTCTCCGTCACTTTGCCGCCCGAAAATTCAAGCGCCCAGTTTGTGGGCAGCTTTCCTTTCATACTAGAGTCAAGTTCCTTGACTTCCTCCCAGTCTTTATCCCCCATTTTTAGTGTTTGATTTGTTCCTACTATCCACTTTCTGGTGGAACCTGTTTTTCTCACATCGTCAACTTCGGTTGACGAAAGCGATGCAAAGCCCTATCATGATAGTTAGACAAGTCAAACCCACAAGTGAAAACAACAAACATTAACAACGCTTTCTGCCGCACTCATGATCGTACGGTAGATATCCGTATTTCAGTAGAATGTTCTTCGCCTAGAACAGAGGCTTCTTGAGTAACCCGCCGTGCCGGAAAGTTGGTAGGATGAATGCGATTTGGGAACTGAAAGCGGTTGCTATCTTGTCGCTGAAATGGCATGGAGGTAGGCAAGTGAGTTGGCTGTGTTATCTTGTTGTACTGAGAAAGCTTGGCTCCATAATCAGGTGACGATATTGTCTTCACTAAAAATACCAATGTTAGCCAGGAGTTGGGCACAATGCCTTCAGGCAGAAATTAGGTGACCTCATAATGGTGTAACGAGTGCGGGATATTCTTTGATAGCCTGTCTTACTAACTAAACTTTGTAAAGCTCAGTATTTGCCGTTTTTGGCCCGCTAGTAAGATTCCATCTTGCCCTAGTAAGATACGTATATATTTGTGGGCAGTTGCATTGCACTCACTCCAAGATTTACAGCAATACGGTAGTAATTAAGTTCTATATTGTAGCCCACTGTTGTGGGTCATATATATTTTTGGGGTGCTCTCTGTTATGAATGACAGCAGGCTATAGAGATCGATTTATTTGTGAAATTGGAAGGTGCTCAACATACACCAGGTCCGTGACAGCGATCGCCACTGCCGCATTCACAGGTGTCGTATTGAGTGTCATGACTGTTGGCTTCTTTGTGTGCCAGTAAAGGGGACCCCGCATTGTAGATCATCTTGGAGGGGTAAGGCCGCGTGGGTAGCGCTGGAAATTGGGCACAAGCCGCCTCTGTTACCCTAGCACTCGCACCAATGCTAACCCTATTCTCCGTATTTATTCATGACAGAGGCTAGCCCCCCAGTCCAGCGTCGCGTCGCGTCGCGTCGCATCGTTCTCCAAACCTCTTAAATCCCACTCTTAATTGATCCCCCTATATTTCACGCATCTAATCCACCATGGCAGATCAGGACCGGTCGGAAATTATTAGAAACAATCCTATCGGTAAAGCTCTTGAGGCTTTCCTTACGTCGTTTAATTCTCTCTGTGGGAGCAAAACCTCGGGAGAGGCCCTTAATCAACTTGACGATGAAGGTAAATGGCTTGACTTCGGTGTGGGATTTCTTCCCTAACTATTGCTTAGATCTCCAAAACATCACTATCGAACTTCTCTCAGCGCTCCAAAGCCTTCGGGTGACTCGTCTGCTTCCTTCTCGCAATGGCAGGAAGAATTTGCTTCGCGACCTACCAGGACTAATTTCAGCCGTCGACTCTGAAGACTTCGACTACGACCGCGTCAAACCTCTTTTGCGAGCAGTCATTGCTAAGGAACCTGACGAGAAAATCTGGGCACAAGTTTATCATGCTGTTACGGAATCCACGCCGCCGCCCCGACCGATCGCCCCTGTCTTCCTACAGACGCCATGGCTTCGTAATACAAGTAGTTTTGCCAACTCCTCCGAACAACGAAAGTATATGGACGCTGTCTTAAAAGAGGAGCTCGGTACTATGTATGTTGGGCTCCGCCGCTTCCACGAGACCTTTTTCGGGGGTATAGCAGGCCTTCAGACCGCATCTGAGGTCGTCTTTGCAAAATGCAGGGAAAGCAGCAATCCACTCTACGATAATAATGGTTGGGTCGGGTGGCCACTACAGACCAAGGAGAAGGACGTTCTAAGCTGGTTCCAAGATATTGTCCCACAGCTATCACAGCTAGCTCAAGGTTATAGCCCTACCGCAACCCCGACACGACGACCAATTGTGCAGCCTGATAAGCCACTTGAGGGCTCGACGGCAGATCGCAAACTAGACGTCGGCTTTGTGAATGATCCAGAAGCCCGAAAGAACTCGCGATACCACTGGTCCCAGATTCTCGTACCAGGCGAGCTGAAGAGCAATCCGGACGCTGACAAGTCTAAAACGTGGCTGGATATTGGGAGATATGTAAGGGAAGTACTTGCTACCCAGGACACTCGTCGATTCGTTATAGCCTTTACGCTTTGCGGGCCTCTTATGAGGATATGGGAATTCGATCGCCTAGGGGGGATTGCATCTGACCAGTTTGACATTAATCAAGATGGACTCCGGTTTGTATCAACGATCCTTGGGTTTCTTTGGATGAACGAAGAGCAGTTAGGATTTGACCCTACCATCATCACGTCAGATGGCATACGATACGTCGAAATCGAGAGGAATGGTCAGCGTGAGCGCCTTATTTTCGACGGAGTCATGAGGCGTGCACCTTGCATCGCCGGCAGAGCAACGACTTGTTGGAAGGTCCACAGCGACAGAGACCCGCGGACGCCACTTGCCATCAAGGACTCGTGGCAATATCTAGAACGTGAAGAGGAAGGCGCATTACTCAAGGAGGCAACCGACAAAGGCGTAGTGCATATGGCACGACACTATCACCATTATACCGTTCAAGTATCCGGGATCGATGACGACGTGCAAGGCAATGTGCGGAAGCGACTGGACATCACGATGGCGGAAAATTACCGATCGGAACGTTTGGTGGTCATACGTACAGCCACACCTACCATCAGTTCGCGGGAAGGTCGTAGGATGGCTAATCGAAAACGGCCGGCCAGTCAAACCGACGCGGCTCTTCCGCCGAACAAGAAACGATCCTGTTCGGCTTCTCCGACCAAAGTAGATAGCAAGACGCTGCCGAATCGAGTCCATCGCCGCCTCGTCCTCCAAGATTATGGTGAGCCCATCTTCTGCGCTAGCTCTCGCACGGCGCTGCTAGCCGCGCTGGGAGAATGCATTGAAGGACACAAGTCGCTGCACGGAGTCGGCATTCTCCACCGCGACATTTCAATCAACAACCTTATAATCAATGAGGACGAGAGCAACCCTTCCCGGCGTGGGTTCTTGATCGATCTAGATCTTGCCATCAAAGAGCACCGAGAAGTTGTTTCGGGCGCGAAGGGAAAAACCGGCACGAGGGCTTTTATGGCGATTGGGGCTCTTCTAGGCGAGCAACATTCCTTTATGCACGACCTGGAGTCCTTCTTCTGGGTGTTGTTCTGGATGTGCATCCACTACAGTGGACCAGGTGAGGATATTGGCCAGACTGAGTTCGAGAGTTGGAATTTCCTTGATACGAGACCGTTAGCGATTCAGAAACTTGGCTATGTGGCGCAAGAATCCATTTTCATTGGGGTGATCACCGAATCCTTTACGCCTTATTATAAGCCTTTAATACCTTGGATAAATAAGTTGCGGAGGGTTGTGTTTCCGAATGGGAGTAATTGGCAGAAGGAAGACGAGAGTGTGTATTCCCAAATACAAGACGTCCTTGGCGCGGCTCGGGAAGACCCAAATGTATTCAATAGTATGTCGGGCAGCTAATGCTTCCGAATGCTCAGTAATCTAACTGTTTTATTATCACCCATCTTGCCCAATACCCTTTTTGCTCATACCGATTTCGTTACTACTCAATACGTGATGTATCAACTAAGTGGTCGAATACATCACTTCCTAGCATCGCCGTCTAACCTCTACTGCACAAAATCACCCCAGCGGATGCCCTGCTCCTGCCACGCCACCATATCATGCTGATTCTGATGCTGAGCCCGCTTCAGTACCTCCGGGAGGTCACGGTCGTCGTATAGCCGCACAGTAACACCTCTCATACGCACTAATGACGCCGATCAGATCACCTCTGAAGCAAACGGAATTTTTTCGAAACTTCTTGCTCATTGTCCTCAACTTGGGAGTTTTCATTTTGCTACAACTATCTTCAAACCTTCATTTTACAAATCTCATTTCATCCTATTCATTTATCATTCAACCATCATGTTTTCTCCATCAGACGAAGATATACACCAGGTTATGGATCGATGTTCTGGGTGCTCCAAAGATGACGCATCCGGTTGCCTTCAGGTTGGCCAAGCTACATCCTCTTAAATAACTCGGAGACTTCTAACAACACGCAGAGTTGTGAAAACGACGTAGAAAAGGCGGTTCAGAAATTTGAAGAAATCAAGGTATGGATTACTTGTTCTCCGCTTGTCTTCTTGTCACTGATCTAATATTGATGTTCAGAACTACCTTTCACCGGAGGCCCCGCCTAGTAGCGACGACAGCACACCGAGCCAGTCGAGCAATGACTACAACCACGAGGATCAACCCTCAATGCCAAACCTACCGGTCCTTTCCGCTCCCAATGAATTTACCAACAACGGTCATCGTGTGTTGGTAGGTACGTACGTGAATAGAAAGTAGAAGTAATAAGAAATAGCAATAGGGTGAGACTGGTGTAATATTGATGTCTAAGTGTCACAAACTAGTTTGGGGACAACCAGTTGAGCCATAAAGCAAAAGCTTCCCAGTGACCAGTTGGTCACTGTTCCCCAATTCTGTATTATATGTGTTACCCCGCAGCTTGGAACGTAACACTAAAGAAGGAACTATCTTCTGAGGGTCGTAGGGGATACGAGGCCCTTATATCTACCCTGGGTACTTAGGTACATAGGTACGTAGGTGCATGGGAATATATGTACTACGACTCTCTGGTCCCCTTGTCACACAACCATCATCGTGGCTCTGGTCCCTTGGGGTTTCGTGAGCTCCTTGGCGCAATCCAGGCTGGCAAGTCCAATACAGACGACGTCCGAAACCATTCGAGATGTTACGATGTGGAGAGCTTGGCGGCAAACGTGAATGCCGACATTGAGGGATATCCCACGATGTTTTATATAATTTCGACCAATGACATTGACATTATACACGAATGGATAAAACACGGGCGCGATCCTAATGCGGCGTGGGGACCAAATGCTTTCCCTCTTGTTGTCTTTATCGACGAGTTTGAAAAGACGAGCCAGGAGATCCACAACACATTGTTGATACCTTTCGAAGAGGGTTAGTCAATCTAAGCAACTACACGAGGTTAACATACTAACTATGTGGTTGGATAGGACGTTATGAGGATCGCCGGACTAGAAGACCGATTGACTGCTCTAAGACTATCTGGATTCTCGCAACGAATAAACTCGATGATACAGTTATACCCATACCAGGCCTTGGCCAGTCGATACCGGCTAGGCGACTGGGGTCCCCAAGTGCCCATCCTTTGCTTAGTACATTGAAATGCGATCTAAGACTTGTGGTAACAAGAAGAATTGGCTGGTGCTGGAGTGCCAAAACGGCACGAGGGGGCCAATGAGCGCCGGCTTCATCCTTCTGATCGCTCCGTGCAGGGACGAAAGCAGGCTCGGAATTGACTCCACTCAACTACACCAAGGGGCTTGGTTTAGTTGATTGATGAAAATATACCACCTCTCTTGATTTAGTTGATTTAATTACATCCACCAAGGGTCTTCGTAGAGCTGAATTAACTAGGTTAGTGTACTAAAAAGGCGGGTTTAAATGAGAATATTTTAGTAACCTAAAATTACCTTATATTTTTATCTTTAAGTGCTTTAAAAAGGAGATTAGAAGTGGGCCATAGCATTTTACCAGACTGCTTTATCATATCTTTAGTTATCATCTATCAATACGAACCATCGTAAACCTCGTCGTCGCTCTAACCTCTGTGCCCATACTGTTCATACCGTCACCAAAATAAGCTGTACGCACTAACAGAGCCCCCCTGCCCCTTAAATACTCCACAGTTAATACACGGAATCAACTCAACTAAATCAACCACCGACCCTCGTTGGGTTGATTGAAAAAAAGCACGGCCTTTGGTTTAATTGAATTGAGTTAAATTGAATGCATTTGGTGTACACCACGGTGGAAATGGTGGAGTTGATTCCGGTTGCTATCCGACCATGTGATGGAAAAGGTCCTCGTTTTGAACCTCTTATAGAACCGAAATAGGGGCTCGCACTAGTTAGATCGGTATCTTGAATCGAGCTTTGCACAGCTTGAGGCACAAGAACATGGACCACAATCCCATGTCAGCCCAATAAAAGGAGGGAGAGTAAGCCACCACACATTCGATATAGTCCACTCAAACTCAAGTCTACCACATATTAACATGATAATACCCTCGGATCTGCGCGTGGAACCGGTACGTCTTATCCCGTATTTGATAACCCAACCTAGTTTGATACCATCAGGTGCTTATTAACTCATCCTTCGTATAGGAACCATATGCGCCACGCAATTTAACATCGCCTAGCATGCCTAACGAAGACGACTCCTTCGTTGCCCTACAATATAAATTCTTCGATGTTCTGCGTTTGTTGGGAACTATATATGAGGCGTTGGGAAAGCACCACTGCTACGCGAGCCACTTTGAGGCAGCCTTTTGGGCAGAACATCGCAAGCTTCAAGAAGCGACCGAGAACAACAAGATCCTCGCCTACCAGCTAGAAGAGCTTCGGACGCAGACAATCCATGGGCGGCGTAGGGTTCCGGACTCTCCAAATGCGCAACAACAGAATCCTACCGTTCACCGATTGCCGCCAATACCGGAAGAGCTCGAGCCGGGCGAGGAAAAGACTTATCGAACCACGCAACAGGATACGGGCCTACAAGCCGGTTCTTATACCGACTTCAAGGTAAGCCAGGCACGAAGCAGATGTCCGCCAGCTAGATCCCGTAGGCTTATCAGGAGTGCAGAGTGAAACCTCAGAGCAGAATCAGATGAAAAATGTGCCGGCCGGTTCAATCTTACGAAGGTTGCTTTTGCGGCAACGATATGATGCCGAAGTTTATAAGATGTGAATGTCTCTCGTTGTCCTAAAGTTCTTTTTTTTTTTTTTCATACAGTCTATTGTCGTCTTGTGTATAGTCTAGGTGAGGTACGGAGCTTCCGAATAGTAAGTCGAAGGGGAACGATTGGCTTGGTGTCACAAGGAGATTGGTGCCAAGACCATGTTAAGTGTCAGAATATAACGATAGGTACAAGAAAGCTCCTACGGAGGTTCGGGATTAAGATTGTTTGGATATTAATTGTCCCAAGATCATGAAGCCTATTATGAGGCCTTGGGCGCGTATGCAGATTAGAACCTGATATAGAACCAACACCAGGCCCACCTTTCTCTTAAAAGGGAGAGCGGGAAAGTATTAGTAAAACTTGGATACATTACGGAATGATTCCCCCCCTCTGAGGAGAAGGAGAATCAAGGACCTTAGGACCCAAGGAAATTATTAGTTGAATTTGAATCTATTCCAAGCCCTACAAACTAAGCCCTTGTCACACTTGGAGAGGAAACGGCAGGTAGGCCGAGAAAAATGCCGTGAGTGTATATTTGTCACATAACAACATACGAACCTTCAATCCAGGTGAGGAGAGTTCTATTGATTTATCATTAATGATGCTGTTTATTGTGTTATCTTATCCCGTTCTCCTCACGTAATTACTACCTGCTTATGTGAACTGCCACTTAAGTACCTTCATATCTGATCAGTTTCTAAGCAAGCCCATTCCTCCTACCGCATTATCGTTTTTTCTTTTTCAACTTTTGTCTATTCGCTGCATATTATCTCCTGTTCCCCCAGTCACTGATTTGGAAGAACCAAACATTGTTGCTGAACAAAATATATTTCCCTCCTAAGGCCTCATATTCATCTCGCACTTCGCTAAGCTCCCTCGTTATACCAGTCCATGCGGCACACATTTCATCGAGCCTATGCCGTAGCACATCGCATTCTTCTTAAGACTGATGCTGCATCGTTATGTGGTCATTGGACGAGCCAGCAGCTTCCGTTGGTAAACGCTCCTAAGGCTAGTTTAGCAGGTACAGCTTTCATCGTCGAAACAGCTCTCCTACCACATCGTTAAGACTATCGTCGCAGCGAGGAACCCTTCGTAACCAATGCTGGACTTTCGCCTGTCCATGACCGGAAGTGCATGACGACATCAGGTTGTAGCTACTCTCTACTTATATTATCCCTACACCGGGCGATGTAGGCAAGGCTCAAGGTACGGCGCACCGAATTATGTTCGAGTACATCGACAGGTGTAGGACGTAGCCTTGGAATATCTCTGCTATTGGTGTCTGTATAATAAAACCAGGACTAGCCTCTTATAAACATGGTGCTTCACTCAACAATGCTGGGCTGTTAAAACGATGTCGAAAGATAAGACTTGGCATGTCCTGAGTTTATTTGTATATACAGTTCTCTGCTTTCTTATCCCTCGCTGGATTCTGATAGAGGGTTGAATAACGCGTAGAAACACTCCTTGCATATCCTAGCTATCCTGAGAACCAGATGGCTTGCGTACAATATACCGGGGCATGTATAGCAGCGAAGGAGAAGACAGGATATTTGTCTACAACAAGGATATGCATACTGTAATCCTACGGGTCTTGGTTCGCCGTGTGATCTACGCTTACATTCTTACGGAAGTTCGTATGAAAAGGCGGGCTCGATGAAGGAAGCAGGGGTCGAAGCAATACGTTCTTGACTGGTGATCCGATCTAGAGTACATGCGATAGGTACATACCACATGGCTGTCTTGAACGCCATAAGGTCTCAGCAAGCTTGGCGATTCACTACTACAGTAGCAGCTCCGGTACTAAAATCGCCAACCCCGGATCGATTCACTTCATCATCCAAGTATGTATTCATCACATGCACGTAACCATGGCCTCTGCCGCAACAAAGGACCCGGCTATCACGAAGGAGGATTTCGCATTACCGTGGCAGAGGGACGTACGCCCTTCAATCATAGCTCTTCGCTCCCAATCATTGGTCGAGCTGACCCGGCCGTTTGGATACGCTAATGCTGGTAAACCAATAGACAGACGGGACAAGCAGGCATCCTGCCAAAGCAAGGTAAGATCACCGTCAGATCCGCTCTTTACCCGGGAGACGTTACCGACCCCTGGTAGCAAGGGGCCTAAGAATAAAACCATTGCTTGGCGCGAAGGCGTTACATAATTCGACTTGCCATCGGCACGTGTTCGTAAGTAGCTAAGAAGGTCGGCCCGAGGATCTGCTCTACCTACTAGGAAAGACCGCCACCTTTCGGGCATGGGTATGGACGAATCAACGGGTCGACCACTTTCTTCGGGTAGCTATGCCTTGGCCTATACCATTCTTGGTCCTCCCCTGACTCTTCATGCCATATTGTGGGACCATGCTTGTTACAGCTCCCCGGTATACCAATCATAACATAGCCTAGCTGGTTAGAGCTATTATATGGCGTAGTCATCCCTTTTCCTACCAAAGGATATATCGAATACGCAAGAGGTTGATGCTGTTGTGCTGCCGTATAGTAATGAAATGTCATCATGTGGGCGTCTCAGATTTTCAGCAAGATGAAGCGAGGCTGTTTGCAGTTATGATAGGTAGTACCACTTGGCCTTTTTATTATCCTAATTTTTGGCTTACTATGAGCTTCATAAGAGTATACTTGCTCTCTCTGCCACCATGCGACGCATCAAAACGAAAAGAGAATCACGTAGAACCGGCTCCCATACATCGTCCCTTTGCTAATTGGCTCGGTGGGCCAAACCGTTTCCAGTCCCCGGTAGTCAAAGTCCACACTGCCTCGTCCACGGTGAGCCACTCGCACGTGTACCCGAGCGGCTGCTGCTGGACCGACACGGTGTGGAAAGCCCGCACGTCGCACACGTCTTTCCAAGCTCCATCAGTCTCGAATTCTATGTTGACGGAGTGGTTCGTGGCGTCCCAGAACGTTGCCCATACCTTGAGGGGTTCGTCAGCGCGGATCGTCCAGAGACTGTGAGCCGACGGTGCGGAGGGTGCACCGTAAGCATGATTTCCCGCCCATACGGCCATGAATGTCGTCCATATAATGAAGCGATAAAAAGCGTTCGGATTTGAAACAAAAGGATGGCGCATGACGTATAGAATTATATATAGCTTCGTTAATATTTCGATGTAAAATATAAAAAGGAACGGACACTTATATATAGCACTTTCTATAGTGCGCTTATACCTACTAGGTAGCTATCATCTACGGCAGGGGAACAGAGTTGGCATCCTCCCACACAGGACCTTAAAACGGTCGCAGCGAACAAGTTAAGTCTCGGAATACATCGATTTGTGGGAAGGCCGGTTCCGGGCCCCGAGACCGGAAATGAGCCCAGGATTACGAAAGCTGTCTAATACATATTACGAACTAACCAAGCCGTCATGGAGAAGCGGCTGCTCTACTATTCTTTTAACGCTGCATCATCCGTGACATTTAGTCGGTATATCGAGAGGTTTTTGGATTAATCGCCGACTTCTTCGGTAGCGAGCGTTCTATCGGTATCCAACATTTGTATTATATATAGTTGACGGTTTGGACATTTCGACTAACTGCGTATGGCCTGATATATAACCTGCGTGGGGCAATTACGATCATTAATCGAGATTTCGGGAAGGTGATGATGAAGCGCGGAAGGAGCTTCCGCCTGCGATATGGGAAAACTTCTTTACTTCCGCTATTGGGAATACCAGTCCGAGTAATGCTTGATGTAGCAGAATTGCCAAGAAAATATTCATTAAAAAAATAATATAGAATATTCTTTTTTAAATAGTTTTCTTTAAGAAGGTGTTTGTAAAGATTTGCGGAAAAGGTTATTTTAGCAAAGCATGAACTTATCTTTAATGGAGATAATTGACATAATATATAATATAGATAATAAATAACTGCCTTCGTATAGTATGGCATAGAAACATTTATTAATCTTGTTTTCATCCATTTAATAAGGGATTCCGAAAATAAGCCACCTAGTTCCGGTATTTAGTGTTCGACCTTAGTTGCTAAATATAACCCCCATAACAAGTATGAAAATGTGGGTGTATCGGAACGGAAGTTTATTAACTTATTCCTCCCTTCCTTTGGTTTTCTCCCTTTGGTTTTTTTCCTTTTTTCTCCTACTCCTTTTCCTTTCTCCTCTACAAATTGACAGATTGGCTCGTCAATCGCCACAGCAATTAAATACTTATATTTATCCTCTATACAGCACGTTCATTTCTTTCCTAAATAGATCTCCCCGTGTTCTACACCGGCTTATTCGAGGCATCTGCTAAAGCAAGGGGTAAAGCCTTTTCCCGTAAATGATACCGTCTTGTCGACACCACCACCAGCCTTGATATGCTTTACATAAAGGTCTTCCCTAATCCTCTCGCCAGCTCCAACGACTCAACTGGTTCTCTTAAGTTTTGCCCATTTTGTATTGATAGATTGACTTTGATATCGATGAGAATATTCCCTGGGTACTCATTCCATTCGCCATGTCCGGACCAAATTCACTCACCATTACCCTGCCTACTTTTAATCAAGATCCGGCATATAATGCTAGCATAGGCATTGGATCAAACGACCCCGACGATTGGACCGCCGTCCTTGACTATGCAGAGCGTAGAAGAATACAGAATCGGATAGCCCAGTGGAGATACCGTACGCCCTCATTAACCATAATAGTTACGTAAGCTAACAGGTCCACGATTTCGTTAGGTAGGAAGCAGGTAATACTGTCTAGATACGCACCTGATATAAATAACGACGTTTCTCGTACCACGCCTAAGAAGAAGCAAATATCGGCAACCAAAGGATCAAGCATTACTTATCATAACCGCAAATAGCCCCGCTTAATCCTGCCGAAAAGCCACGACATCCACATCTCCTTGCCATGCGGCAACACAACAGACTCAACCTTTTACGTACTTGGCATATCCTTTGGTAAGAGAAGGCATGATTATATTATATTATAGGCTTGATCAGCCAGGTCACGTGATGATTGGTATTTTAGGGGGTTATCATAATAGCGAGACAGCGATGATCCCTCGCGTATTCCCGGGGATGGGATACCTTAGTAGCTCGGAGTGGAATGGCATATATCAGGTTAGCAAATGCTAAAATCTTTAAACAAATATTAAAAGGATAAAATAATCTTAATGATTAGTATTATAAAAGGGGAAAAAAGCGGCTTTATGGTTAGAATTGATAAGGTATTCAAAACTTTAGCATAAAAGGTTTATGTATAATAATAAGGCTAAGCTAACCCACGCCAAGCACTGGAATGTGGTCCGTAAATCCCGTCCTTAATACTGTCGAGATCTAAATAAACAGTGGCACCTATGAATCGAAACTAGTATCTATTTTTACCTTTTTCCAACCCCTGAAAACAAGAAATCGAAAGAACCCCTTTTTCCTTTGTTTTCTCTCTAGGAATTATATTTGTCCTCGAGTATCTGATTTACCTTTGCCCCGATTTATGTCACACGGGAAAATCATCTAAATACTGATAGGATAAGAAAGGAAGCTAAATGATTAGAGATAAGAATACGTATATAAAAATAGCTAATATATATAAGAAAAGTAAATGTATTAGCCCTTAGTTTGATTGTCGACTAGGTCATCCAGCACCGGCAATCCATTCTGCACAGCAACAGCGAGCGTACCGATGTCGTCTATATCGCGAGCAATCGTCGTGTTGATTTCATTTGGAAATCGAAGTTTCGAATTATCAGCCATTATAATTTATTAATCATGAAAATATTCAGATTATTATAATTAGTTGTTAATTGATTGAATATATCAAGAAAGGTTTAATAAAATATATAGTTTTTAATATAGTTTTTTCCGGTCCTTGTTTTGTACTAACCTTGGACGTTATTCGGGTCCTAAAGCAAGGTCGTTTTGAGGTCGAAAAGAAGGTCAAGGCAAGTAATTAATTACTAAGGCGTCGGCTTTATTAACAAAGGTATGTAGTAGTAGCGGAAACCGGCTGCGCCAGCAAGATATTCTCTTATATGCCCGCTTTTGAATTCGCGGGCCCCGTCTTGAGATCGAGACCATGGCCATGTACAAATTCACAAGAACGTACTTCCTGGCTGTCACCCAGCCCAATATTCGTTTTGCCCATCACGATTTCGTAGCTACTCAAAACACGATGCATCAAGTAGTCAAATGCGTTACTTCCCAGCATGGTCCTCCAACCTCTACTGCACAAAGTCCCCCCAGCGGATGCCCTGCTCCTGCTAAGTGGAAATATGGGCTACCTTCCGCTGTCATGAAAACCATAGCACCCTCCACGCAGAAACTAAAATCTTGACGACATAATTGTGAGTGTCCTATGCCTTGGTTTAGTTGGCACAGGCTCGACAAGAACGGTCCCTTCCAAGCCCCTTCATTTTACTATAATACCGGCTAAGCTCGCATTTCCGTCACTAAAGTCCACGACGGCCTCACTCTGAGCCATGTCACTGCATAAGGCGGCCTGCTGGAGAGGCTTGAAAATGCCTGTCTATGGCTAGTGTCCCTGGGTACCTCGTCACGCCGGTCAAGCTTGTGACGACCCATGAAGAAAGCGAGTCGTCGTTGGCAGTGTCTCGATCCTTTGTGGGTAAATATGCAGCTCTAACCTTGTCTTTATGTATCCGTACCTCGACCCCGAGTCCAATAAGCCTCACCGGCAAATACACAACAAGGCGATTACGCAAAGTTAGGCAAGCATATAGATATAACATATGACGTGCTAGATGAACAAGTCCTACACAAAGCGTTAAAGATACGAAAAGGTCGTACCGTGATCTCTAGTATGTATATTGGAAAACATTACCTGGCTACCTGATTCTGTAGGTCTTATTTACATCTGCTGACGATATAACAATAGTGTGCGTGAACGCCAAGACGGGGAATATGATCCGTAACATCGTCCGGAACATAGCGGACGATACCGTCACCACGAAAGAGTTAGACTTTCATCCTTCTACTAACAATGACCAGGAAAAGAACTACGTCTCCATCTAAGCCCTGACCATTTTCTATGACCTAGTCAACGTAAAGGTCCAAAATGGTATTGTATAATACATAAGCGGTAAGAGAGTATTTAATTAACAAAAAAAAAAACTTATATTAAAGCCGTATTTACGGCTCGTCTAGGCCTCTTTTTAGGCCTCTTTTTCTTCTCTTTTTCTTGTTGAAATTCAAATAATGCAATGTCATGTCCCTCTTTCAGGGTTAGATTTGTAACTATGCTAAAATTAAGACCAGTTTTGGGCTGGGTAATGTTATTTTGTTTCTGTTATTTCCTCTTATAGTTATATAAAAGCTAAAGGAAAACTATCTTAATATTCTGATATTCCTTTTACTAAAACTATTTCAAATATATAATTATTAACATTATAAATTTAAACATTTAAAATTACTTAAATATTTAATTCATTAATATTATCAAGCAATTTTATTTATAATGTTATATTTTCTTTAATAAAAATATTGCTTTTATAGCCCACACTAGAATGTCTCCTTATTCGGTTACCACTCTCCCCTCGTATGTTACTTTTATAAAGGTGCTCGCAGCTTCCCATTATACAACCCCGTTTCTCCTAACATCCTTTGCTCTATTACTACCTACCAGCTCGGGGTCAAATACCCAGGTCGTTAGTATAGACGCAGTAAAAATCACAGATGGACATGTTATGCTATCGCGAATCGATGCTTGCGGAATCCCTTCCACTACAGAGGTCACTTCTTATACCGAGACCAAACGGGGTATCGCCTATAATAATGCATCGCTTATTAAAACCATCCTCCCTACTACCAACGGGAAGCTGAGCTGGGGGTATAACTGGGATGCTACAGACGGGAACCTCGATACGGGAATCACGTACATACCCACCTGTTGGAGCGACAAGTCAGAGGACTGGTTTGAGCATGCCGATGTAGCGATATCAAGAGGAAGCGACGCAATATTTAGCTTTAACGAGCCCGATATAGCCTCACAGGCAAACATGAGCCCTGTGGTAGCCGCCGATGCTCATATCAGACTTCTCATCCCTTTCCAGAACAGGACCCGCATCGCCGCCCCCTCCATTAGTAACAGCCAGGATCCGAACCAGGGGATCGGCTGGCTGAAGCAGTTTTGGACTGCGTGCGCGGGACGATGCGCCGTGGACTTTTGCAATGCGCATTGGTACGGGCCCGGTGGCGTGGAAGGGGCCAATCAGTTTCTCACCTACCTTACCGACGTACGCACTGCTTGTGGTGGTAGGCCGGTCTGGGTAACGGAGTTCAAGGCCATGGATAGTATTAATCAGGAAGAAGAGTTTATGAAGTATGCTTTGCGAGAACTTGATACGAACCCGGCATATAGGTTCGTAGAGAGATACGCGTATTTTTATTTCCATGAGGGTTTCCTAACAGGAGGAGACAGACTTAATAGTTTTGGACAATTATATGTTTCTATATAAATATACCTAGGTATTTATGGTGTTTATAAGACGTTATTCCCGTTATTTGATAATTAGCTTTATGTCGCATACGTTCCAGTGACTTAGCAAGCAATGAGAAGACTGGGAAGAATACTGTAATTAACTTATAATTAAGCTATACCCATATCTAGGTACCTATTATAATCTAGGTAATCATTATAACATCTCTTTTAGATATCAACAGTTTTCTTTGTTATGTGTAGCAATAATTTTGCTCAAGAGCCAGTAATAAATTACAGTTAAACATAGCATAGCTCCGCATAACAACGTGACTGTTATGATGGCGATGTTAGCTGTGATTGAAAGATGTCCCCCTTGTATGCTAATGATGTTCAAGGCAATTGATAGCAGACAGATGAAAGAGTGAGAAAGGCCTGGTCTTATAGGAATCATTAGTATTTGTACAAACCGAGAAATAACTTAGTCAAATGTTTACCTCCTTAGGTACCTAAGTAGGTGTTAAGGTATGGGGTACGTACAGAAAAAGGTGACTTATAAGCCATATATAGTTCGTTTGATGCGTCCTCCATAGGAAGCAAGTTCCGGCCAGACCTAATAAGCAGAATGCGCCGGCTAATGGTAGTAATGAAAGGTTTTTAATGGTTTGCTGGATAGCTCGGCCGCCTGGGTTCGCGGCAAGGGTACTCGAATTCTGAAGAGAAGTGAAGGTATTGGGCAGTGTAATGAAGCCAGCACATGTTATCCAGGCGAACAAGCCAGCTAAAATATTGTATCTTGCCTTGATTTGGTTTGCCTCGACGGACATTAATGTAAACCTGGTTTGCGTAGTGTCGGGATGGCTATGGGTAATGCGCCGAGAAGGGTTCGAATTATTTTCGGTGCGCATGTTGGGACGTACGTTGGATATACCTTTGTGATTTTACTCTGAAAATAAAGAGAAAGGAACAATAGAAAGTTATTCCTGCATATAGCATGTTACTTTGAGGGATGCTTAAGTGTATTAATCAAATATATTGCCTAGAATTGGGACATTTTAATACCAGCCGAACTAATTCTGGGTCGTTAATTCCCAAACAGTGGTAGTAGCTTTAATAAGGATTATTCTTATAGTTAAAGGCGAGTACAGAATAGGACCATTAACAAAATAATATAAATGTTAACGGTTTGTTCTATACATGCTGAACTTTACATGCTTATCCATTAAGTACCTAAGTAATTAGGGGCTTAGGTGCGTAGGCATGATGGAACAAGGACTGGAACCTACACAGGACCAACTAAATGCTGTCGCACTCTGCTGCTTTATCCTCCAGCCCGTCAGCAACCCCATGATCGACCACCTGGCCCGAAGAGTGTACAGCGTTATCATGTGCGGTTGTGACCCGATACCGCTCAAGTCTAGTAACGGTCGAACCTGTGGTTCCTTGCCCACCGTCAAAGACTTTATAACGGAAGTGGTTGTTGCTTCTAATGTACAAGTCCCGACACTGATGGCTTCTCTCGTCTATCTTACGAAGCTGAAGAGGCGCTTGTCCACC